AGTTACGCTTACACTCCAAGTGTTGTTGCAAAAAAAAATCTGGATCAAGAGAACAAATGCAAATCCAGCCCCTTTGATTATTCAAACCGGAATGCTTATTTTGTTGTCAATTGTTTGATTTAGAAAGATGATACGTGGAAAGCCTTTCATTTTGATGACTTAAATGTGGTTCTTCTTTTGATAGAAATCTAAACACAAAGATCTTTCTTGGCTATTATTTTGGTGTAAAATATGGTAAAATATAGTAGCGTTATTTTGCTGGTTGTTATTTTGGCTGTGTAAAACAAGGTGATATTGAGTCCTTTTGTACGGATCGAAAATGGATGTTTTGGTTGCTGTCATGGCAAGAAATCTAAGGTTAATGTGTAATGTTTCGAGTCCACAAGTTGGCCCAACTTTTTAGCCGCATCAAGGTTCAAAATAGTTAACCTAAGTGAATTAATAGCTCATGGACTGGACGGAGACTTATATTCATGCCATTTCTTCTTCTCAAATTAGATGTAGGGTGGGTCTCGCATTCTCCCGCTTATAAGGCTTGTGTATCTTCACAAAATCCGGTCATAGTAAAAAATGTCCTTGCAAAACCTAGTGATAATCAAAACTGTCCACTTCATCAATCGTGCGCAATTTCTAAAGGTCACCCTCTCTAATATGACATTTAATTCTACAGACTTTAGAGGTTGTTCTCGTCAAACATGACACTTAGCTTCTTCCACTCCTTTACGTTGTCAAAATCATAACATCATTTGGACCCCAGCTCATCTTGCTTAAAGATAACACAAGATTCGCTCTGATATGACTGTAATGCGAGATTTACTCTGGAACCAGCAATGATGCGCGGGCGCAACAAAGTATGCATGGATTAGGGGTACATGGTGCACCAGTAGGTCATCTGGTTGCTGCTGCTCCTGGTCACATTGCATCAGCAGTTTGTACACCTGTAATGCTTCCTCATGGACATCACCCCCCTTATGTTGCATATCCAATGGCACCGCCTCAGCCAATGCATCAATACTAAAGTTCCTCACATATTTGGTTTGTGACTACAGCAAAAGGAGTAATTCTACTGTTTCTACATCACTTTTTAATGGACGGTGGAAATGCATATTTGGTCTTGTGAGCCATCATTTGTACGACACTGGCACAAGGAGATTCTGTTCGACAAACTAATGCCCGCATTCCTTGTCTGGACATACTGGACTCAAAAACATTTCTGTAGTGATCTAATACATGTTTTTTTAATTTAGCCATCTTTATTAAAGATTCTATTAAATCTAATCATTCTGCACTCCACGTCTTGAGCATGTTGCAATGTTTGATTCTTCAACATAAAGAGAAAAGCAACTTGTAAACCAGAGACCAAAAAAGCAGGAAAGTAAAAAAAAGACCACTGTCGTTCTCTTACTTCTCTAGTGCTTGCCCCTGGGTGGGTCTGGGATATTGCAAAATGGTATAAAGAGCAAATCAACATGAACAAATCTCTCTCTCTCTCTCTCTCTCTCTCTCTCTCTCTTTGAAGGCATCATTTTCCCCATATAGAGAGCTTGAAGTCAGCTTTCAAATTGTCTCTTTCAGAACTTTCTTCCGAGTCTGCTACTTCCCTAATGCATGCGCACTTGCTCTAATCATGTTTAGAATGGTCACTGAGGGTGCTCACCTCGGCCCTCATGGGAATGCCGAGGTGATCTCACTTCCTCCCTCACACGAGCACGGTCTCGTGCTGAATATGGCCCCTGATCTTGGGCAAGCCCCTGGTCTACTGCCTAGATGATCCCTGCACCTCAGACTTCGACATCGGCTGCACGCTGATGATGTCAAGCCACCTGACATCATCAGGGACCAGTGCTTTATCTGAAAAGCACTGATACTCCTAATGGCTACTACGTAGGACTCCCCGTCACCCTGCCCAGGCGGCTACAGTGTCAGAGTCAGACCTCCTGGCAAGGAGCAGAGCCGTAATGACAGAACATGGGTCCCACTAGCATGAGCCCTCTGTCCTGCCATCCACTCCCGCTCTATAAATACCACTCATGTACACTTAACAAGTAAGCATACTATTCATTCACATATACAATTATTTTTCTCTCGTTCTCATACTAACTTGATCGTCGGAGTGATCCCAGGGGAGAAGCCCGGCCATCTATTTCGGAGAAGTAAAGTCACATCACCTCATTCGAGAGAGGACTGATTCAGGTCTGTCTAGTTACCCACCAAAAATCACCTCCTCAATTGGTGCCGTCTGTGGGAACGAGATTACTGCTAAAATGAGATCCACGCACTCCAGAAGTTGAAGAGTCCCTTCGACCGGGCCTGGGCAAACATCGGGAGCCCAGCAAGATCGTATTTCTGAAGAACAAGGGTCCCCAAGGACCCAGCCCAACAACGAAGACGCCATCGCCAAGATGGCCGAGTTCGTGGCTGACAACCCGAACATTTTCGAAGAATTGGGGAGGTACTTCAAGAGGCAGGGGAAGGAAAAAGCTGAATCCTCCAAGAGGAGACCGACGAAATCCCCTGAAGTACCTTCCGGCGAAGACTCCGATGAGGGGCACCTCTCTCGGAGCACTTCCAGGCGCGCCACTTCCAAGGCGACATCTAAAATTGCCTCCATTTCCCGGGCGTTCTCCCGGGGTCTTCTGGGAAAATGAGCTGAGTACCCACCTCGGCGTCCCGGAGGTTTAGCAGCCGAATATCTGAGAGCTCCGCCCTTCACGGACGACATCAATGGGGAGATGGTCCCCCCAAATTTCAAACTTCCCGCCCTACGTTCCTACGATGGCCGAGGTGACCCCGAGGATCACCTCCGCGCCTTCCTCTCTGCATTTCGGCTCTACTGCGTCCCGGACGCCGTAATTTGCCGAGCTTTCCCAATCTTCCTGCAGGGGACGGCCCGAAAGTGGTTCTGGGGTTTAGAACCGAGGAGTATTTCCTCGTTAGACGAGCTGATAGATCGGTTCATCCACCACTTTGTATCGTCTCACCCAATTACGAAAACTTCAGCTTACCTCTTAAACCTGCAGCAGGCTCCCGGCGAGTCACTGCGCTCATACGTGCAGAGGTTCAATGAGGAGAACGTACAGATACCTGATCAGAATTAGCAGGTAACCATAGCTGCCTTCAACAACAGGCTGATCGCGGGAATCTTCAATACCGAGATACACCGGGATTACCCCCGCACACTTCGGGAACTTTGGAATCGAGTAGATCAGGGAATCCGAAGTGAAAACCTAAACCGCATGAAGCGGGAGGCCCAAGCCACTCGTACCGGGCAAGATTCCCGGAGGAAAAAAGACGCCGGTCGAGTAGAACATGGCCCCAGTGGCTCGTCGACTCAATTCCGAGACCGCCGGAGTGTCTTTGATCGGATCGTAAAAGGCAGGTCGTCCACCTCAGACGCCGAGCTTACACCACTCAACTCCAGCCGGAATCATGTCCTGGCTGTGATGAGGCAGAATCACCTCGGCCGAATCCCTTCTGAAATTCCGGGGAGGAGAGATAAGAGAAACTCAAACCTCTATTGCGCCTACCATCGGGATGTTGGGCACGAGACCGAGGATTGCAACGATCTGAAGCGAGAGATCGAGAACTTGATCCGGCAGGGGTACCTGAAGCAATTCGTTCGCAAGGATGGAGGATTCAACCGAAGCGTCTCCCACAGGGAAAACAGGGGCCCCCGCCGAGAAGACAGGCGGGACACAGACATGAATTGCCGAGGCCCCGAGGACCGTAGGGAGGACAAGCGGCCTCCACGCGACGGATCACCGGTCTACGGCCCCAACATCGCCGGGGTGATCAACACAATCGCGGGAGGACCAACGGGAGGAGATAGCCAAAACTCCCGGAAGCGGACCTACCGCCAGGCCGGGATGGAGGTGGCCGAGCCGAGCTCCCGATTGTCCGAGGTCATCACCTATGGTCCCACGGACCCAGTCCCTGCCGCCTCCAGCAATCACGAAACTCTCGTGATCGAGGTCCTCACCAAAAACTACATAGTCAAAAAGGTCTATGTTGACCCCGAAAGCTCTGTAGACGTCTTGTACTACCGAACTTTCGAAAGTTTGAAACTGACCAGGGAGCAACTCACTCCTGTCAGAACTCCCCTCGTCGGATTCGGGGGACACGTAGTCCACCCGGAGGGTATGGTGTCCCTGATGGTGACTGTCGGGCATCATCCCCGCTACCAAACTGTACCCGTCAGCTTCGCGGTGGTCAAGGCAGATTCTCCCTACAATCTGTCAATAGGTCGACCCACGCTCAACGCCTTGAGGGCTGTGTACTCTACCTATCACCTGAGTTTCAAATTTTCGACACCAGCGGGGGTGGCCGAGGTGAGCAGCGACGTGAGTACTGCCCGCCAATGCTACCTCGCCACCATCCAGGCCGCAGTCACTCCCCGGACCGCGTCAAAGGCCGAAGAGAGGAGGCCAGCTGTTCTTTTCATAGACTGCATCGATCCTCAGAAAACGGGAAAGCCCGGCAGGCTGGAAGCCGGGGATGAGGTGGAGCAGGTGGTCTTAGACGAGGCGAGGCCTGACCAAGTGGTCCAAGTGGGGGCTGGACTCCCTTCGCCTCTAAAGGAAGAAATGATTCACTTGATAAAAGACCACCGGGACATCTTCGCGTGGTCCGCTGATGAAGTAGTTGGAGTGCCACCTGAGCTCATGATTCACCAGCTCAACGTTAATCCACAGGCCCGTCCTGTGAGGCAGAAACGCAGGCACTTCGGCCCCGAACGCAGCAAGGCCATATCTGATGAGGTCGACAAGCTCTTGCCCGCCAAGATGATCCATGAGGTCCAGTACCCCACCTGGCTGTCCAACCCCGTCATGGTCAAAAAGGATACCGGTGGATGGAGGATGTGTGTCGACTTCACCGACCTTAACAAGGCCTGCCCCAAATATTGCTACCCTCTGCCGAGGATAGACCCCCTCGTCGACTCGGCAATGGGACATGAGATCCTCTGATTCTTAGATGCCTTCAAAGGCTACCATCAAATAGGAATGAGTGAGGAGGACCAAGAGAAAACAGCGTTCTACACCGACCAAGGTGTTTACTGCTATACTACCATGCCGTTCGGGCTAAAAAACACCGGGGCAACCTATCAAAGGCTGATCAACCGCCTTTTCAAAGATCAAATTGGCCGCAATGTGGAGGCCTACGTGGACGACATTCTAGTTAAAAGTTTAACCACCTCGACTTTCCTGTCAGATGTGAGGGAGGTCTTCGGCGTCCTGCGGGACTCAAGGATGAAGTTGAATCCCAAGAAGTGCGTCTTTGGTGTCACCTCAGGAAAATTCTTGAGGTATCTGGTTTCCCACCGGGGAATCGAAGCTAACCCCGACAAAGTCAAAGCCATTCAGGACATGTCCCCACCTCGGAACCTCCGAGAAGTCCATAGACTGAATGGACGCCTGGCCGCGCTGAACCGCTTCCTGTCTCAATCTGCTGAGAAAGCCTTGCCCTTCTTTAAGGTGCTAAAGAAGTCTGATCAGTTTGCCTGGACCGAAGAATGCCAGGCTGCCTTCGACAAATTAAAATAATATTTGCATCACTTGCCTACCCTCGTCTCACCTCGGCCCGAAGAAAAGCTGTACCTCTACCTCTCCGCCGCCGACGAAGCTGTCAGTGCTGTGCTCATCCGAGATGAGGGGACCCAAGTACCGGTCTACTATGTCAGCCGGGCTCTCCGTGGGCCAGAGACTCGATATACCCAGGTGGAAAAACTCGTACTAGGGTTGGTCCACGCCGCCCGGCGGCTGAAACCCTATTTCCTAGCTCATCCTATCTCCGTCAGGACAGACCAGCCTATTCGACAAATACTGGTCCGACCCGAGGCTTCCGGGCGCCTCACTAAGTGGGCCGTCGAGTTAGGGGAGTACGACCTGTCGTATGAGCCACGCACCGCCATAAAAGCTCAAGCCATAGCCGACTTCTTGGCCGAACTCACCTTCACGGAAGGTCGAGAATCCACTTCCGCCATCGCCGAAGTGTCCACCCCCCACCTGTGGATGTTATATGTGGACGGATCCTCTAACGGGGATGGCAGTGGAGCAGGACTGCTCCTGGAGGGCCCCCAGGGAGAAGTGTGCTCGTATGCCCTCCGCTTTGACTTCCCAGCCACCAACAATGAAGCCGAATATGAGGTCTTGATCGCGGGACTCCAACTAGCCCGCAGGCTCGGTGCACAGCGGATCCACGTCCGTACCGACTCCGAACTTGTAGTATGCCAAGTTCTCGGTGAATATGAGACTAAGGATGAGATCATACAACGATATCTCTCCAAAGTCCACCAACTCACCGCATACTTCGAGTCTTTCGAAATCCAAAAAATCCCCCGCTCCCAGAATAGGCGGGCTGACGCCTTATCCCGGCTGGCTTCCACATCATTTTCTGACCTCAACAAGACCGTCTTAGTGGAAGTACTGAGCGAGCCGGGATACATGGAAGAGGTGGCTTGCTCTGTAAACTCGGGAGATACATGGATGAGCCCATTCATCCTTTTCTTACGGCAGGGAATCCTCCCCGAGGATCGAGCCGAGGCGAGAAAGATACAACGCAAAGCCGCTCGGTATGCTCTCCGCGAGGGAGAACTCTATAAACGCTCCTACCTTGGCCCGTGGCTGAGGTGCGTTACGCCCGAGGAAGGACGCCAAGTCCTCCACGAGGTACACGAAGACCTATGTGGGGCCCACGTCAGCCATAGGATGTTGGCCAAGAAGACCTTGCTCCTTGGGTATTTCTGGCCTTCCGTTCGACAGGATGCCCAAAATCTTGTTCTCGGCTGCCCATCCTGCCAAGTCCACGCCCCCGAGCACCACCAGCCCTCAAACTTCATGGTTCCAATCACCTCACCCTGGCCGTTTGAGTAATGGGGGACAGACATTATTGGCCCTTTCCCAAAAGCGGTCGGGGGTTATTCCTTCCTGGTAACCGCTGTGGATTATTTCACTAAGTGGGTTGAGGCCGAGCCTCTAAGGAACATCACAGGGCTGGCCCTTCAAAAATTCTTTTCGAAATGCATTATCTGCTGCTTCGGCATACCTCAGATCATCATCTCAGACAATGGGAGACAGTTTGCCGAGAACCCATTTAGGACTTGGTGCGAGAACCTCGGCATCAAACAACACTTCACTTCGGTAGGCCACCCTCAGGCCAACGGTCAAGCAGAGAATTTCAACTGAACTCTCTTGCATGGCCTCAAGACCCGACTACACCGAGCTGCATCATCTTGGGTGGAAGAACTACCCAGTGTCCTGTGGTCATATTGGACCACGCCGAGGTCATCCACGCAAGAAACCCCCTTCTCCTTGACCTATGGAGCCGAGGCTGTCATCACTGCTGAGATCCTAACACCCAACCCTCGGCTGGCAGCCTATGTCGCCGAGGTGAACGGAGAAGAGAGACAGTTGGATCTCGACCTCGTCGACGAGAGAAGGGACGTTGCCTCAGCTCGGGTAGCTTCCTACAAGAACACCCTGACCCGTTACTACAATGCCCTCGTCAAACATCGGCGATTCCTGCCAGGTGACTTGGTACTTAGAAAAAACTCGGTCAGCTGAGCTGAGCCGCAAGGGAAATTGAGCCCAAAATGGGAAGGTCCTTACCGAGTTGTGGAATCCAACCTTAACGGGTATTGTAAACTGAGCTACCGAGATGGCTCTCTAGTGCCGAGAACTTGGCACGCCGAGAATCTTAGATTGTATTATGCTTGAATATTTCATCAAGTTATGACCTCAGCAGCTTTGTTATTTTTCAATACAATGGTGCCACACATCTGTTATTAAAAAAATAAGGGGGACAAGCAAGGGACGAAGCAAGAAATTAAAATAGCCGAAGTGAGAAGAAATATGTTTCATTTAACGAAGAAAAGGCATTACAAAAAGATAACAAGACCGAGGTCAGGAATGCTACTAAGCAGTTCCCACCTCGGCATTACACTTAACCACCTACAAGCCTAGACCCCTGTCTCGGCTCCCTCCTGGCCAATTGCCTCCCCGGTTTCTTCCCCGCCGGGATGAGGCTCACCTCCTCAGTCTCCTTCGTGCACTTCGTCAGTCTTCTCGCCGACGTCGCCCCCAGCCTCACCTCCTCCGTCCTCCTCGAACACTTCGTCGAGCTCTGATAGCCACTTGTTGAACTCGTCCTGGACCTCAGCCAAGTTCCTTCCAGCGTGGAACCCGTCGGCCATCCGATCACACAATTCCTTGGAGTCTTCATTATAATTGGCGTTGTTTCTTAAAGACTCCAAGGCTTCGGAGGAGAGATGAACTGCGGCCTCGTCGATGGCCGACGTGAAGCCGAGCATGAAGCTCGGCCTCGTCAGCTGGACGAGATCCCCGATGAAGGTCTCGGACCTCCTGAAATCCTCAACTGCCGAGGTCCTTGCGCTCTCAAGAGCCTGTTCGTAGGTCTTCTTTACCTCCTCCGCCCTCTTCTGCTCTTCCTCCAATGCCGACTTGAAACTGTTGATAGTAGCCTCGGCCTCCTCCCCTTTCGTCTCGACTTCTTGAAGGCGTCGCTGAAGCTCAGACTTCTCGGACTCGGACACCACCAGTTTCTTCTTCAACTTGGCAATCTGATCTTGCAGCTTGCCGGTGTCTTGCTCCTCGATTAGGGCGCAGTACCGATGCGTCATCTCGGCCGCAAATGCCGTCTGGGAGGCCGTGGTCACCATTATACTTTGAATCAACTCGGTCGGGGACAGCTTCCTGGTGAACTCCACGTCCCTCGGCAAGCTTGATTGCATCACCAAATCTTGTGCAACCTGTGGATTGCTGCACCTATCGTTGACCTTCAGCGTCCACTCCGGACACCAATGCTCGCCGGAGTGGGACTTCTCTTCTCTGGGAAACACTGGGGGGCTATGGAAGCGGTTCCATAGTGAAGACCCCGTCACCGCATTGACCGGAGCCTTTAATTGTTTACCTCGGCCATGAGGAGGCGGGAGTGCCGTGGTCACTCCTAGTGGCACCCCTTCTGGCACAGAAGAGGTGGAACCCGTAGCTGCGGTGGCCGAGCTGCTTTGGGCTGCCTTGGTGGGGGTGCTCTTCTCCACCGAAGTCTTGGAAGACTGCCTTTGCGACTTCTTTTTGGGCGGATGTGCCGATGTCTCGCCCGAGTTCTTCCTTTTCGATCTCTTTGCCACCTCGGCTGATCCCGATGTGATGATGTCTGACAATTTGGTCACTGCACAAGAAACAAATATTATTATGTGCTATAGCCGTGGTAAAAGGAAAGCCATGAAAGAAAAATTACAAGGTTTCTCAAGTTTAATGGAAAAGAAGGAAGGCTTGTTAGGGGGCAGTAAAGCTCGGCTCATTCCCCCGTCGACCAGCACGGCTTCGGGGTAGTCCCAACTAAATATCCGAAGTCCCGACCCCATCAACTTTTGGAAGGACTCCTCCTCGTGGTCCCCCACGGAAGGGTCGGCCTTCGATTTAATGGGCCTCCACCAAAATCCCCAAGGGAAGTCCCCGGCTGGGACGAAGATGAAGTCCCGTTTCCAGTTCTTTATCGAGGTGGGAGCCCCAATCACCAGCTTCGGGATGGTGTTGTTCCGGTTACAGATGTAGAACCATCCCTTATCCGTCCCCGTGCGCCTTGAGGGTATAGCATCGGCGGAAGAGATCCACAGTGGGGGTTACCTCTTGATGTCGGCACAGCATCTCGAAACCTACTAGGATGCGGACCGCGTTTGGGACGAGCTGAGTGATCCTTACGCCGAAGTGACGGAGCACGTCCCGGAAGAACCTTGACGTCGGCATCCTCAGCCCGGCCTCCAACTGTTGAAGATAGATGGCCACAGTGCCCATGGGGGGCTTCTCGGCCGAATCGTTCGGCCCGGGCAATGTGATGAGATACCCCGGCCTGAAGGGATATTTTCTTATCACCTTCCCGGCCCTGTCTCTTCCCACGCGGCTCCTAAGCATCGGCATCTTGCCAAAGTCAATGTTGACAGCGTTCCTTGGGGCAACCGGCTCCAGCACTCCCTCGTCATGGGGCATTGCAGTTCCGAGGTCGGTATCGTATTCGACATCGGAACCGCCCTCGCTCATCTCTGATGACTCTGACCCCGATGCTGTCCCGGCCACTTCCTCCTCGGCTGATTCCCCCACATCGGTAGGTGCCGACCCCGCAGAGCTGGACGAAGTCGCTTCTTCCAAGGGGTCCGACCCCTCCTCGGCCTGATAGCTCGGTTTCACGGTTTTCTTGTGGGTTTTAACTGTTTTGGCCATGTGTGAATGATGAGATGAAAAGAAAAATACTTACTGTTGACTACGGAATCTGACGAATTGGATGACTTCGGCTGAGATTTCGACTGGCAGGACTCACTGACCTCGGCGACGCTCACGGATTTTGCAAGTCTGAGGCTGAAAGATAAAGTGATGGGCCATGCGGTGAAAAGGACCCCCTATTTATAGGGATCCGGGGAGAATCCGAAAAGGCGGCAAGAATGCGAAAAGACGTCCACGTTTAAATTCGAAAGACATCCTCTCTCTTCATTAATGACCCGTCCTTTCAACTGACACTCTGCACGAAACGTCCCACTACCTCACGACGTGACCACTCTGCTCACCACGTCTTATCAACTGACCGGCCTACGTGTCGCACCCACGAATCGTCAGGAACAGTCTCGGGCCTCCGACCCTGTACGACCTCGGTACAGGGAAGCCTCGGTACCTCTAGGACTCGGAGCTTCTGAGGCTTGGGGGGCTTATTGAGGGTGCTCACCTCGGCCCTCATGGGAATGCCGAGGTGATCTCACTTCCTCCCTCACACGAGCACGGTCTCGTGCTGAATATGGCCCTGATCTCGGGCAAGCCCCTGGTCTACTGCCTAGATGATCCCTGCACCTCAGACTTCGACCTCGGCTGCACGCTGATGATGTCAAGCCACCTGACATCATCAGGGACCAGTGCTTTATCTGAAAAGCACTGATACTCTTAATGGCTACTACGTAGAACTCCCCGTCACCCTGCCCAGGCGGTTACAGTGTCAGAGTCAGACCTCCTAACAAGGAGCAGAGCCGTAATGGCAGAACATGGGTCCCACTAGCATGAGCCCTCTGTCCTGCCATCCACTCCCGCTCTATAAATACCCCTCATGTACACCTAACAAGTAAGCATACTGTTCATTCACATATACAATTGCTTTTCTCTCGTTCTCATACTAACTTGATCGTCGGAGTGATCCCAGGGGAGAAGCCCCGCCATCCACTTCGGAGAAGTAAAGTCACCTCACCTCATTCGAGAGAGGACTGATTCAGGTCGGTTTAGTTACCCACCAAAAATCACCTCCTCAGTCACCGACACACTCCCCTTCCTTTCAAACAGCTTTTAAATTTTCTCTTCGAAATACTATAGAAGTTTGTTAGTTGACCCGAGGATCCAGGTGTAGCAAAATCCTAAGACGTGAAATAAAACTTCCCGAACCCAAGAAAACAGCTTTTAAATTTTCTCTGCGAAATACTATAGAAGTTTGTTAGTTGACCCGAGGATCCAGGTGTAGCAAAATCCTAAGACGTGAAATAAAACTTCCCAAACCCAAGAAAATGCACATCGACACCATGCTGGCCTATGCCCATTTGCATCTTCCAACAAGAAGCCAGAAATCTTCTACCCAAAAATCTAATGCAGCTTTTTCTTACACCTAATTCATAAATTAGAGGGGAAAAAAGCCTCAAAATACTAATGTCCCACAGAAGAAAGATAAAGAAAATGAGTGGCATAATGAGCGATACCAGTTCTGCAATTCACGAAGATCTTTGACAACTGAGCTTTCATTCTCGATAGCTAGTAACCATAAAGCTAGCAATAAATTTCATTCACTCGCTTTACATTGTTACAACACTGACTTCTTTTGCTATCAAAATATTTGAGATGAATTATTTGAACATAAGCAGTACGAATTTGCCTGCATTAGTAGAAAGAAATAGAAGTGTGCTGATCTTATAATCTACCAAATGGCATTGTCATAAAGGTTGATATATGAGACGGATTAGAGCAAGCACGTATGTAGGAGGGAGCGAGAGAGAGAGCGGTAAAATTCAACATAATTTGCATTACTAGGAATCCATTTCCACAAAACTGCACAACCCTAATTTAGGTACTGAAGAAGTTACAAAGACAGGTCAGACTACGAAACACATGTACACTTGGCACCTATTTCACTTTAAATTGAAGCTGCTTGGACAGCACACGATAGAATAACCTCTTTCGCCCCCATCTCCACCAAACAGGCACCACTGCCTTTCGTCTCCTTTTTACCTGCTTCCCTGTGAAAAATGCCAAGGACAAGCCATTGAAATGACGGACCAAACATCCACACAAAACACGAGATTGAATACCAGCAAGTCACCGTCTTAGATACACAAATCTGATTCACAACTAGACCTTGTTTCAAAATATATCCCTGCACCAATCTCTGTCATTTAATTATTTCACTGGAGAAAAGAACAGGTATTTTTGCATTAGCAGCATCTCTCTCCCTTTCTCAGTTTTTACTGTTGATCATCTACTAAACGTCTTTTCTTTTGGGTACAAATAGTTTAGCAGAATTA